GACAGCAACTTGTCTGTTCCCCTTCCCCCAATTCCTCAGTGCTGTTCTCCTCCCCCAATTCCCCAATAAAAACCTTAAAAAAAAAAAGAAGAAAGAAAATCAAAAGGAACTAAGAGGAACTAAAAAATGTTTTTAGCATCTTGTCACTCTGACTAAAAACAAAATAAAAACAAAAAACTACAAGACACATTATTCATCACTTGCATTTGAAAAAGCTGATAAGCTTTTCTGGCAAATATAAGAACAACCTGTTGCATTTTTTCAATGCAAACACCTAAAAGCAGTGAGGTGAACTTCTTTTCAGCTCATTTCTTCTTAGTTTGCAGAAGGACTTCCTACTGACAGGTCATACAGAAGTATTTCTTTTAAGTGGTTTAGTTCCAGCTATCATTAGATACTTTAAAAAGTTATATAAACCTAACTATAGAGAAATGATCCCCCATTTTAGAGTGCAACAAACGTATACACTGAAGTATTTGTGGATGAAATGATATGTCTGGAGGATGTGCTTCAGAAAAGCAGGGGAGGGAGGGGGGCATGAGACTCAGAGATGGGGCTACAGTGTGATAACTGGGTGTTGGTAAGGGTTGCAGCTGGATGATGAATACATGAGAACTCATTATACTGTTCTCTTCATCTCTGCATATGTTTGAATTTTTCCACATTTTAAAAACAAACACAATTAAATGAAAAAAAAAAAAGTAAACAGTCTTGTCATCAGTTTGCATATGACTGAGAGCAAATGACTAAAAACTATGAAAAGCAAAAACAATTAAAGCTAAAAATAAAATCTTAGATTCTTCAAACAAAAAAGTTAGATGTTCGGGCGGCTGAGTAGCTCAAGCTCAGTTGGTTAAGAGCTTGCACAAGAGTGCGAGCTCTGAGCAACAGCAGTTCGATGCCCGGCCGGAGCTGAGTTGCTGCTGAGCTGCCAACAGGCGGCAGGATGGCTCAGCTAAAAAAAAAAAAAAAAAAAAGACAAAGGAAAAAAAATATTCAATAAAGGAAATACAACTCTTAAATAGCAATAAGGTTATTATTAGCTAAATTTCTGCCATCACTTGAATTCGTAATTTATTAATTGTGTTGTGTCAACATCACACTGCCATTAACTCCCCAATGAGGGAGTCACTAAAAAAAAATGATTTCTAAAACATGAAATATAAGATTGATAATTATCATTAACTAAGATGACAAATCATAAGTATGAAAATCTAACCTCTACATACAAAAGAATATAAATAACAAACAACAACAACAAAAACTACACTATAGGTCTAAACAAAACAAAAACTACTTTCATTTCCCTCTCTTAATGCAGCCAGGCTTAAGATTATCTCATGCTCTGAAAAGGCTGGCACAGAGCAGCTCTCACAGTGGATTTCAGTAAGGCTGTACATTACCTTTAAAAGACTCAGACCAACACACATAATTCGAATAGCAATATGAAATGATTTAACTGGAGACACAACACCTACACATATGGTAAAACTTCTCCAGTGTGTGTAGGCAGACCATTTGGGGCAGGACTGAATGTGGCCGATTCTTTATTCATTGGCATGGAAGACTAAGAGAATAAAGCCTTAAGTGGAACTGCTAATACTACAAAGGCACAGTGCCTAGCAAGACATCGGGAAGTGATGCTCCGTATTTTAAAATGCAACTCAAAGATAGGACATAAAAATTGCTTTCTACTCTTGATCCATAAAGAGCCTGAATAATTTTGATTATTACAAGCACTATTTTTTGTGACGTATCTCCTACACAGTAGAGGGTACCTACATATCTATATGCAGATATGCACACATACATATGACCTACATGTTTTTTAAACAACATGAACCTACTACCCAAGTTAAAAATTAGAGAAAATATTAACATTTTCACAAGTTTACATGACATTCTTACACAGAGACCATGAAAATAAAGGAGACAATTAGACCATTTTTCTTAAGATCTTTCCATTATCTTGACAAACACTGTAATCTGTCCAATTAAAACATCTTTCTGAATTTCTTATTCTTTTTAAAACGCAGTAACTATTTTTAATTTCCAGTACTAGATTCATAGGTAGTCTGTGAAATAACTACTGAAGTTTCCTTAGAAGTGTGTCCTAGATGTATGTACATCCAAAACGACATTAGGACCTTTTTATATAAACTCACTATAGAAATACATCCAAAACAAGATAGGGAATGCCAGCAATGTTTACCTCCTTTTCAAACCAGAGTTCCTTCATCCAAAAACATCAGATGGTCAATCATTTGATACACTTTTTCTCTACAAAGTTGCGTACAAAGGCTTTACAGCTTCCTAAGAATAAGTAACGGCAAAAAACTCACTACAATGAAGTCATAAAACCTAAACTTCCAGGAACGGGCTTCCCTCTTCCTTGCCCTTTTAAAAGCTCCTACCATCCTACAATTCATAGCTTCAACTGGTTTCAAATCTCTTTAAGGGCAGAGGCCACATATTATTCATCTTTGTGTTCCCTGCACAGAATGAACTCAATGTTTGTTATAACTAAAATAAACTCCAGGAAATGAGCTTTAAAACACCTCATTTCCAATGCAAAACTGGAAAAGATATGAGCTTGAGAATAAAAAGATAATGAACAGAATAAAACTATAAACATTTGTGCTACATTACAATATATTCTCTTATCACCTGATTCAGAATCACACACTAACACTGCAGAATAAGTTTGCAAAGAATAATGTAAAAGTAAAAAAAAAAAAGACCTTAAAGTTCTCCTTAGTGTCAGCATGCTCAAATATTATTATAGAATCTTTCATCTTAAACTCAGACCTTGTATACCAACTGTACTTAAATAAATTGAAACAAAAAATCATGCCAACATCTCCACCCCACAACTATCAAAAAAAAAAAGGCTTCAAATGTACCTAAACATAAATCAATTCTATTTCATCACAATTTAAGTTACTGAAATTATATGCATAATTTGTGACTGTGTTTATGCTCGTTTTCTACAGTGAGGGTCTTTCACCAGATTTTCAGAAGGAAAAGTGATCCCAAAAAACTTTAAGAACCACTAATCTAGCATATCAGAAACATTCCACTTTCCAGAGAAATAAAGTTGGCTTTGTTCAAGTATTCTTCCCTCATGTTCATAGAGGGGATCCTTACTATAAAGTTAGCCTTTCGAACAATTCCTTCATCCTAGCCAAAAAGTGCCAATATCCATAGGCACATATAACAACTCCCAGATACCCAAAAACAGTTTACTGATAAGTGCCCCCCCCAAAAAAAGTACAAACTGCTATTAGATTCTTAAATACACTTGTATCTTTCAATATTAAGTGTCTGGAAGATCTAAATTTCCTCCAAACTGAAAAGACTTTTTAGAAAGGTTTTCTAGTTTTGTTCCACATTGATTTGTCTGCCTCACTCAAGTTAACACATATCACTGTCAAGACAAGTCGTCCCTCATATGCATCCAGGCTGTTTCAACAGGGTCACCTTGATTAGTCTCACCCCAAGGCAGGACCATTTATTGAGTAGTTATTCAATAAGTAGTTGTTGAATGAATGGAAGAAGCTCCTTCTGCTCACAGATTTAAAGTTAAACTGTCAGCCCCCATGCAGCTGTTCTGGTATAAGTTAATCTGTGAAAGACAGCCCTCCCTCAAACATACAAGCTTACGTGTTAAAAATGCTCTGCTTCCTCCATAAACAAAAAATACAGTCATGGACACCCATTTCAGACAGGCTGACCTGGCAGGGCAACCTCCACGCCATATACACGTATGATACAATTGATCTCTACCAAGTACAATCCAACAGGTCACAATTGCCCCTACCTTTCCAATAAACTCAGATTTGCCTGACAGAGACCTCCTGAGGCTCCACGGTATGGTGACTATACTACTGGACTAGTGGCCACAATACTTGAGTTACAGTCCCAACTTTGCCTCCAACTGATTGCCTCCAACTGAACACGTGACCTTGGAAAAATTACCTCTTTTTGCATCCATTTATTTTGTAAAAGGGAGAAATTTATCCTACAGGGATTTAAGACCACAAAGAAACTGAAAATGCAGTCTGAGAAATATTGAAAGCTTTATTCTATTATAAAGTGTTAATATAAAGTCAGGTCGACCCAAAAGGCCACGCATTCTTTACTGCCATGCCTGCTCTTTCCCAGTAAGTCAAGGGCGCTCCCAAGCCCTAAATACACACACGTATCCACCGGCACGGAACACCCCAAGTTTTATTTTAAAAATATGCTAACTTATAAGGGGAACTCCATCACACTTACACAAACCCAAGCAAACCCTTCCGGAACGCTTCCCTTGCTCGCGCAGACACACAAACACAGCCGCTATCCACCAACAGGCCATCTGCCTTCTCGACCAAAAACACGTCTTCCCATGTACAAACTAGCCAGTAACGTTTATTAAACTTAGAACGGCGGGCTCATCCCGTCGTCCCGACCCACAGTTCAGCGTGTCAGGGACGCGAGCGCCGGTCCCACAGGCACACGACCCTCCGGAGACCACCCCGCCTGCCACTCTCGGCGGGCGCGCAGACACGAGCCGCTGGACCGCGGGGGATGCCCCCGTCGCGCCTCCACTACACGCAAACTAACCTGTCAGGGGCCCAGCGACTCCGCCTCCTCGCGCTCACTTTCCCGCCCCCCTCCCCCCAGCCAGGAGCCCGCCTGTCAGGGACACCCCTTCACCCCGCCAGGAGGGACTTCCCGGTAAGCTCAGGATCCCCTTCCCTACGCTCCCCTCCCCCATCCTTCCCACCGCTCTCCCGGAGGTCCAGGTCCGGGAGATGACAGGCGCTCCCGGGAAGCCGAGGATTGAGTAGCCGAGCGAGTCCTTAGGCCCGAAGGCCTCCCCAGGCGCCTCTACTCACCGTGTCAGAGGCCGAGGCCCAAGGAGATGAGAGTGCAGGCGAGTGGGGAAGAGGGGACGGCCGCCACCAGGCTCCTCCGCTTCCCTTGGTCCACAGCGGATCCCTCCCGCTTGTCAAGAGGCGGCCGGCGGGTGAGCGGACTGGCGGAAATGCGAGAGAGGAGAAGGGAAAGGCGCGGGGCTCAGCGGGGGAAACTGAGGGGAGGCGGGTCCCGCAACCGAGACGGGGATCGTCTCCCCCTCCGCAAAGCGAACCCAAAATGGCGGCGGGAGCGGCGGCGGCAGAGCGGCGGCGGCGGCGGCTCCTCGGGAGGGAGGGAGCGAAGGGCGCCTCGTGCCCCCCCACCTCCCACTCCTCCCTCCTCGGCTTCTCCCCCTCCGTCCTCCCCCTTCCCCCGACTCGGGCGGCGGAGCGCGCACGCCCGCCCGCACGCGCCGGAGTGGAGCTGGGCTCGTCGCTCGCGGCTCGCACCAACCACCGCCTTCG